TATCCTTCTTCTCGTGGAACTTATATTCATTTTAGTACTGGGGTAGTCAATAAACAAATATTATAGCCTGTTAGTATATAATATTGGAGAAAAAAGTGAAGTAAAGACATTGAGACTATTTTATTTGGGATAATCAAGGACAGTTGCTGAGGACATAGTATTTGGAGACAAACTGAAATGAAATAGAAGAGTAGACCATCTGAACACACTATTCTGAGAGAACAGAGAGCTAGGAATGGTGCTTAGTGGGAGAGCTCATGCCCAGCCTGCATAAACCCTGGAATTGATCCCTAGCACTATTAAATAAATAAATAAATAGAATGGTAAATAAAAGATCCTGAAGTAAAAATCTGGTTTTTTTCTTTTGACACAAGATCTCACTATGTAGTTCAGACTGGTCTTGCCTTTCTGTATAGCCCAGATTGGTCTCAAACTCAAGGTAATCCTCCTGCCTCAGCCTTTCAAGTGCTGGAATTATAGGCTTGAGTCACCACACCTGATACCTTCTTGATGTTTGAGAAACAGAATAGAAGCTTTGATGGCAGGAACAGAGTGGACTAAGAGTAACTTTAGAGGCAGCTCAAGGAGGTAATGGGTTATTCAGAACTTTATTATGATAATGACTTTAGAGAAATAAGTCATTGGAAATTTCAAACAGATGAGCAACTAAACCTGGCTTGAGTTTTTAATTTTTTGTGGGGAGGTGGGCGTACAGGGTCTTACTATGCAACTATCTCTCCAGCCCTGTGGTTTTAAAAATTACTCTGGCTTTTATATAAAGGAAACACTTTTGGAGCTTGGTTAGAGATAGCCAGGAAAAGGTTCAGTATTTCCATAGATAGAAAGTGGTGCTTTGAATTAGACAGGTAAGCAGAGGAGGTGATAAGTGATACATTGTGAGCATTGGGATTTGTTAAATGGACTGGATGCAGAATGTAAGAAAAAGGAGCAGTTTGTCATGAGTCAATTTAGTGATTACTGTTTGAGATTTGTGTGAAGCTGTGCAAGCCATGGGGTAAGAAACATTTCTCTCAAGGAGTGTCATTGTCAAATGGCCATAACAGGTCATTGGTACTCCCGGTAGGAGAGATGTTCAGCACATTTCTCTTTAAACCACTTTTCTAAGTTGGCTTTAAGAATCTTTAACCTACATCACAGCCATTATAGGGCTCTAGTAAACTACCTCTAATTTACCATTGATTTTTTTCTTATCTTTATAAGTATCCTTTCCTTGATTCCACCATATCTTTCTTCTCAGGGAATACTTCCTGAGACAGGAGACATATGTTATCCTGTTGTCAGCTCTTTGTTTCAGTCACCACCATTGCTTGTTCTGGAAGATACAGGGTATGAAAAACCTGACATACTTAGAAGTCCCATCTTAGAAACACCAGTGACAAAATGTGTGTCTCTTGGCTTACCTGGTTATTGCCCTCCATGTGATAGCCCCAAAGACTGAAGGACTTGCTGCTCAGAGCCTTAATGTCCCCAAATAGGTCATTTGCTTAAATTCTTCTTAACTCTGTGCAGAATATTTATATATTTTCCTTTTTTTAAATGAATTTAGTACAGGGTCTCACTATGTAGATCAGACTGTAGTGATCCTCCTGTTCTCATCCTCCCAAGCGGTGTGATTACAGGCACGCACCACCACCCCCAGTCTCAGTCTCCATCTCAGCATGCCCCAGGGGCAGGGCCGGCATACCAGGGATCGAACCCCAGGTGCTGTGCTCTGCCTAAGCAGGTGCTTTAGTTCACTGAGCTATCTAGCCTGCCTTCACTTTCCTTTTTTAATTGTTTTTTTCTTTTAACTTCTATTGAGCATCAAACACAAACTCAAGGTTCTTCATATGCCTAGGCAAGTATTTTACACAGACTACAGCCCTGACCCTAAAGTTCTAATTTTAAATTAATACTTGCTTAATTTAAAAATTCAAATGATATAAATATTTAAAGAAGTAAAAAAATTACGAGATTGGCATTATGTTATACTGTTCTGCAACTTTTTTCCACTTAACCGTGGTTTTCATGTTATCTATATAGATTTTGTTTTGTTTTGTTTTTGGTGGTGCTGGGGGATTGAACCCAGGGCCTCATACATGCTAGGCAAGCTTTGTGCCACTGAGTTACATACCAAGCCGCTGCCTCCTCCTCCTCTTCTTCTTCTTCCTCCTCCTCCTCCTCTTCCTCCTCCTCTTTTGTTCTTCTTCTTCTTCTTCTTCTAAAGAATAGCCCATTATATGGAGCTATCATGATTTACATATAGCCATTCCCTTGTTGATTTACATTTTTATTATAAATAATGCCAGATTAAACATTCTTGGATGCTTGTATTTCTGAACTTGATCAAGTGAATATAGGAGTCCTAAAAGTGAAACTAAATGGTCAAAAATTAAATACATATAAAATTTTCCTAGCTATTGCCAGATTGCTTTCTGGGCATTTTGAACCACTTTATGAAGTTTAATGTCTCAAGAAATGTCATATTTCCCTTCCTCCTAATAAAAGACTGCTACAAGCCCAGGTAATGGCACATACCTATAATCTCAGCACTTGGGAGGCTGAGGCAGGAGGATCAGTGTGTGTTCAATGCCAACCGAGGATACATTAAAAAAAAAAAAAAATCCAAACCATGAGTATGGTCTAGAATCCACTGAAATATAATTATACATCTATCTTTCCAACTGTATTAGTACTGGACCATGAACATCTAAACATCAGTTGAGCACTTCATTATATGTTTAGGTTGAACTTGAGGATGCAAAAGTGAAAAGAAGATATTGCCCCTATCTATAAATTGGTTCATAACCTGGTAAAGGAATCCAAAGTCTTACCTATATTTGTGTCCTTTACTGTAATACTTAAAAAATGGTATGTACTGAGTAAATGATTATTATATAACTAGAAGTATTTTTCTTTGTCTAAAAACTAGTATTTGGCAGAAATTATGAATTTTTCAAATGAGACAATGGGTAGTTTTAAAATATGAACTCTATTTTAGGCACTCCTTTTGGAAGAAAAGAATAGTTATCTTAAGTCTGCCCTGTGACTGTTACATGGTTGATGCTGTTAATAAACTTAACCTTTTTTTTCCTGTTCTCTAAATACACAATATACAGAAATGGAAGGAGGGTGAGCCATTGGGAGCTTTACTGTACCATTAAGCATTTGTTTAGAGGCTACCTCACATTTGCACTTAGGTCACAAAGCTTCTGTAACCTTAGGGTGGACTACCGTCATTGAGAAGGTGGAACCTGGAACATGGGGACATGATGGCAGAACCTTGGGCCTCAGCATGCTATGTTTAGGACATTCGGCCTTCTCCAACTAATCCCACTCAGCTCTGATCTTCCTTTTTTCTTTCTCTTCAGCACTTATGTATTCAGTTTGCACTGTATTAATTTGCACTTGTTTGCATGTTGCTTTGTAAGTATTTTCTGATCACATATGTATTGTTTTGTGTCCCCAACTAAAGTGCAAGCTTTTTGAAGGCAGAAACCATGCCTTTGGTTTCTTTTGTATTTCCCATAGCGTCTTATACTGTGCTCAGCAGAGAGTGGGCGTACAGTGTATGTTGTGGAATGACATCCTGAGTGATCCCTCCCTGGCTGGGCCTAAGATTAAATTCCCTGAAATGGAACAGTCCTAATCAACCCAGGACAGGTATTCTCCATGTGGCATGTTGGTTGCTTCTTGAAATGGCTGCCTTCACCAACTTTCTGTCACCAGCATGGGACTTGCCATGGCTCATGATGTTCTTACTATATGTGTTCCAGGCAAGTCTGCGAACACCAGAACTGACCTGGGAGCGAGTGAGATCCCAAGTTGACCATGTGATATGGCCTGATGGCAAAAGAATAATCCTACTGGCCGAGGTAAGACAGACCAGCCAGAGACGTTCCCCCCTAAAGGGAAAACTGCAGTGCCCAGGGTCCCTCTACCTCATGTTCTTTTCTCCTGTTACTGCTATTTCTTAAACACAAGTTTAACTGCTTAGCAATGAAATTTTACTTCTAATTGTGAAAGGTCTTTTCATTTAGCAAATAAGAAACTATTTTTGTTCCCTACTTTTCACCAATTATCCTGTCTCTCTATGTCATTCTCCAGGTTGAGTTAGATAATGACTATTACCGTGGAAGGAATTAACAGATAGAACCAGTCCCACTTTGAGTGATGCTTTCAAAGAGATAATGTCATTTGTGGGATGGTTTAATTGGGAAGCACAAAGTAGGTATTCCTGACTATAATTCAGACTATCTGAGGCAAGCTCTGAGAAAGTCATGTCTTTGATGCTAGCGTCCCTGTTTGTGCTTGTTTCCCTGAACTGAGCCAGATGTGTAGCAGGTACTCAATTAAATATGTGGATGCTTGATTGATATTTGTCCCCCTTGGTCTCTTCTTGCCCACATTTATTTGGGTTTTTTAATATTATTTTGGAGTTTTTTTATGATGATGGAGATGCAGATGCAGGCACAGTTCTGGGGATTGCACCCTGAACCTTCAGCATGCTAGGCACGTGCTCTGCCATTGAGTTCCACTTCTAGGCCTTACATTTATTTTTGACTTTCATCTTCTATACTTTTCTGTGTCAGTGTTTAACTACTTTCCTTTTCTTGAAGGCTTCTCTTCCCCATTCCTGTATTCCTGGCTGCTATAATTCCCCATGTTTTTACTGCAAAACCTTCTCTTCAGAGAAAGATATCAAAATAATAAGAGTACTTTTCTTGGGTTTCAATTTTTAGTCTATTTCATTTATTATTTTATTATTTTCTACTTTTTATGTTAAAGAAACAATATGAAAAATATAAACAATATCTTGTCTTTATCTAAGGACCCATAATGTTAGAATTGACTATCCTTCCTATTCTCTTCACTGTTACTTTGACTATTCTTAAGACATCTGTAAGGGGACTGAATTATTTCCTCACATGGAAGGAAGTTTATTAAGTGTACATTAATAGCTTTGATGTCAGCTGGCTATCTGGTGACTTATTTCTAGTTGGCCAAGAAGTCTCATTTAGTAACTTTGATGACAAAGCAAGTATCATCAGTGTTTTTGCCTATAATAGTTTAACAAAAGACAGTAGTCAGACTTCCTAGGAAACGAAATGGGAAAGGGAGACGTGGGGAAAGGTTCTAGTTCTTCTATCTGAATCATCCACTCAGAATTCAAGGCTGCCCTTGCATTTAAGAGAACCAAACTGATACAGAAACACAACGATCATCAAAGCTTCCTAAATCCATAGATATCTGTCTCACAACCTGGTGAGATTGCCCCTGGATTTGACTAGGCATTGTCTAAGATAGTCTTTCAAAGAAATGTCAGTCCTCAGAAGGAGGGTATTCTGCTACAGTGAAAAATCAATTAAGACAGTTATGTCCTCCCCTGGCATAAGCAGGTATATGGAGAAAAGGAACACTTGCGTATTGCTGATGGGAATGTCAGTTAGTACAGCCATTATGGAAAACAACATGCAGGTTCCTAAATAATTTAAAAATATAACTGTCACATGATCCAGCAATCCCACTACTGAGTATATAACCAAAGGAAATGAAATCAGTATGTCACACACATCCATACTCCCCTTTTTATTGTAGTACTATTCATAGCAGCCGCAAAATGCAAAGTATCCATCAGTTGATGAAAGGAAAAAGAAAAGATGGGTACACATACACCGTGGAATATTACTCGGCCATAATAAGGATGTGATCCTGTCATTGCCATAACATAGATCATTATGCTAAGTGAAATAAGTCAGACACAGAAAAACAAGTACTATTTTATTCATGTGAGATCTAAAAAAGTTGATCTAGGTCCGACCTGGTAGTACACATCTGTATTCCCAGAACTTGGGAGGCTGAGGCAAGAGGATCACCATGAGTTTGAGGTCAGCCTGAGCTACATAAAAAGAACCTGTCTCACAAAAAAAAAAAAGCCTTGATCTCTCAGAAGCTGAGAATAGAATGAGGTTATCAGAAACTAGGAATAGTAGTAATAGAAAAGGAAAGATAAGAGATTGATTAAGAAGAAGTTGATCTGTAAATACTAAGTCATAAATGGAATTGAGACATGTTGGTGTTCTAGTGCACAGTAGGGTAGCTAT